TTCTTATTTCATGAATTTTCTCTTCTCATTCTTAGGTATTTCTCTTCTCATTCCTACTTAGATATTCATCATTTTCTTGTTGAATTATCTGTTATGTACTTTGCAAATAAATAAGCATTTCCATTTTAATCTTACATTGTCTTACTTTTTTGGCAGAGAAGTTTTATATTTTAGTGTGTGTAGCCAGATGTATCAATATTATCGNTTACATTGTCTTACTTTTTTGGCAGAGAAGTTTTATATTTTAGTGTGTGTGTAGCCAGATGTATCAATATTATCGTTCTGGGTTTTCTTCTCTGATATCGTTCTTAGATAGCTCTTCTCCCCTCCAGGACTACATAAGTCACTACTTATGTTTTCTTCTGATTTTGAATTTTATATATTAGTAAAAAATCTGATTTTATTTTCCTCTAAATGCTTAACCAGCCCAGCCAGCGTGGCTCAGCGGTTGAGCATCGACCTAGGATCCAGGAGATTGGGGTTCGATTCCTGGTCAGGGCCCATGCCCAGGTTTCAGGTTCGATCCCCAGCAGGGGGCATGCAGGAGGCAGCTGATCAATGACTCTCTCATCATTGATGTTTCTATCTCTCTCCTTTTCCTTTCCTCTCTCTGAGATCAATAAAGATATATTAAAAAAAGAAAAAATAATAAATGCTGAACCACTTAACTGAGAATTACTCATTGAACCATTCATTAGTTTTCATAATCTTGGTAATCTATTTTTATTATGCATATGATATATATGTGTAGACATACTTTGGCCTGTTTTTGGTGGTTCTTACATTGTTCCATCTCTTCCTGTGTCAGTAACACACTATTGCATAAAACCCTTTAACATAAGATGACCCAGTCCATTCTCATTGTTTAAGTAACTTTTCTGACTGTTCTGGGATATTTATTCTTTCATAAGACCCCCTGAAGAGGTCCTCCCAGACTCACCCTTTTTTGGAACTGAGTTTTGGTGAACTCACCTCCCTCTCACCCTCTTCCTGTCCTCTCAGGCCCTCTGTAGCCAGGGCCAGGCATCCTGGGCTTGCTCAAAACCCAGCACCTCTTGTACCCTCCCCTCCCCGCCCTGATCCAGCTGTCCGCTCACAGAATGCGTTCACTTGGCCTGAAGCTGTCATCTGTCCTTTGGCCTTGGCCTGACCCCAGCCACTTATGTGTGAAATGAAGCATTCGAGGAATTAATAAAAGTGCAAAGAGGTTGGCAGTGGGGTCACAATGCTATTTCCTCAGTTCAAAGGGCCTGGAAACATCTTGAAAACACCTTATTCAGACCTACAAACAGGCATACATACAGGAATTAAGGATTTCAGTCACTCAACTCGTTTATTTTTTTGTTCTATTTTTCTTTAAGGGAGAAGAAGGGAGAAGGAGAGAGAGAGAGAGGCATCGATGAGAGAGAAACATCAACCTGCTGCCTCCTGACGCCCCCTACTGGGGATCAGGCCAGCCACCCGGGCATGTGCCCCGACCCAGAATCGAACCATGACCTCTTGGTTCATGGGTCAGCGCTCAACCACGGAGCCACTCCGGCTGGGCTCAACTGTTTCATTTATTCTCTGTCTACTTACTAAGCAAATAGGAAGAGTACTGTTTTGCTCAGGTAGGGAGGGTCCTCATGGGTCCCTCTGTGTTCAAATTGTTTGAGCCTGGCAGTCTGAGAGAGATTATATTGTTTATATAAATAAAAGTCAAATAGGTTAATATTGAAAATTTATGCAGGAAAGATGGGCTACGTATGCTGCAGTAACAACCCCCAAATGTCACTCAAGATTCAGGTAGAGCCCAGCCGGGCGCGGCTCAGTGGTTGAGCGTCGACCTGGGATCTAGGCGATCGGGGTTCGATTCCCGGCCAGGGCACATGCCCGGGTTGCGGGCTGCAGCCGATCAATGACTCTCGCATCATTGATGTTTCTGTCTCTCTCTCTCCCTCTCCTTTCCTCTCTCTGAAATCAATAAAGATATATTAAAAAAAGGATTCAGGTAGATCCATCCAAGTGATCTGCAAGGACAGGTGCTTCCCATGCATTTGCTCAGGTTTCCGGAAGCTGGATTTATACAGCAATGTTAGAACCACCGACGCGTCTGCCATCACTGCGGCGGCGGAGGAGCGGGCGTTGCAGACGGTGCGCTTGCCCTCACCTGCTTCCACCCAGAGGTGACACAGGTCACAGACCTGCCTTCGTGAGGACTCTCTTATTGAAATATTAACACACACACCCCCTAGTAAAATCTACCACAAGATACCGGCTATTAGCCATAAAGAGGCCTCGTAGCCACAGTTAGACTGAACAATAATAAAGAGGGTCTTGGTCTCCAAGTAGCTTCGATCGCACAAAGAGATGGATCTTCTCCATTCTCCAGGCTAAAAGATTGATGGGTTTAAAAAAAAATGATTGATGGGTTACAATCATCCCCTCATTTCAAATCTATCTGTTGAGCACCTCCGCTGTGTGCAGGAACACAATTCTACAGCTTATTCCTAATGTTGGGGGCATGTAAGGCTGTAGCATCTATGAGGGTTTGACCAGGTGCCTAGATAAATACTTGACTTATATAAATTAATCTTATGTTTCCCCTAATAGATACCTGGATTCTTGGCTCTAGTATATAAACACAGGTAACTTGAAAAGGTCAAGGACACCATTAACCTTGAATTAAGAATATCCGGAAGGTAACAGTGAGCGAGAACATCCTGAACTTAAGCAACTCAGTTCCCAGTGTTCTGTATCAAGGGAATTCAGAACAGAGATAAGAGCCTTAAAAAGGGCAAACGTCAGGGTGCTCCCCACTGTCGTTCATTATGGGACGTGGGCTGGTCGAGTGGCAGGAGGGTCGAGAGCCAGGAAGTGATTCGAGAATATACCACTGAGCTGAACAGGGGCTTCCCTGTGCAGTTGCTCGGCTGTCACCCTCCACGGACGGAAGGACCCCAGCCTGCTCCCACGACGTCGCCTGGCACTGTGAGGGTAATAACATCTCCTGAGATGTAAGTCACACAGTCCTGGCTTCACTTGGCACCTAGGTTACTAGGGACCATGGCTACGATGGTTGGGTGGGACTAATACTATTTAAGATCTGTGTTGACCTCTGCCCATCAATGTGAGTGCAGGAGAGGTCTCCGTGCTCAAGAATGGGCTAAGACCTGAATTTTCCGAAATACTTGCCTTGTGCAACCTCAGCCCTTGAGCCACTTCAGACCTCTTCATTCTTAGAAAAAACACTTCCCTTTGGCTTAAATTATATCCAGTGCTTCTTCATTTTATTTGCAATAAAAAAAGCCTTTCTAAGCTCCCTGGCTGATTGGGTCCAGGGGTGGCTTCTGTATTGAAGATTATTTGCTCACTGTTGCATCACTGACATGTTTCAGAAGCTGCCAGAATTGGGGATTTTTTTCAGTAACAGGAAAAAGATCTTAGCAGAGAGACTGAGCTATATGCTCTTGGGAGATACAGCTTTTTGGGGGGTTTTTTTGGTGTTTTTTTTAACCCATCAATAATCACTTTATTTAAATCATTTTTAAATTTTCAATTACAGGTGACATACTATATTATATTCATTTCAGGTATTATATAACTTACTAAGTGATCATCCCAATAAATCTCGTACCAATCTGACACAGACACAGTTATTAGATATGGCTTTTTGTTTTCAGACATGCTGTCCTACATATGAAGTGTGGCTGCGGGAGTTTTGGGAAGGGGGGGCTTCGGGGTCCCACTCAGGAGGGGCCAGAAAGGGCAGGCTTCCCAGTCCCTGGGAACAGAGAGTGGTTGGTGTCCTGTCTGGGGAGGAGTTTTGTTGCCATCTCCTACGAGCCTGTGGTTCATCCAGGAGTCATTTCAATTTCTTAAGCACAAGTGTCATTAAAACCAACTAATATACAGAGGCTTCTGGCCTAAATGCTTACAGGCCCGGAAGTACAAGGTTTGGGGCCAGATGACCTTTCATGAGACCAAGTTGTAGCACTGATACACCTGTGGCCTTGAGCAAGTCTCCTCCCCTCTCTGGGTCTCTGTTTCCATATCTGTGGGAGGAGGGGGCGCATTTGCCTAGATTATCTCAGGAGGAGCGGGGAAGAACTCCCGGGACTGCCAGACAAGAGGAGGGTTGGGATGAATCTGAGCTGGCAGGACACCTGTGTGCCTGCGATTTCAGATGGAACTGGATTGTGCAGGTGGGACGCCCTCCCATGAGCCGAGAGGTGGTCATATTGACATGGGTACAAAGAGGTCCTGGTGCGAAAGGATGCAGAGGATTCTGCGGCAATAAGGCCACACCGTCTGGCCAGGGAGGCAGAGGACCTGTGCAGCTTCTAGGGCACAGGCCTCCAAGCAAGAAGCAGCACTGGAAGCCCCCAGCCCTGGGGCTCCAGCCGGCATTGGCTCGAGGAGTCTGGGGCTCAGCGAGAGGTCCTGAGCAGGGTTATGACATGGATGCAATCAGTAGAAGGAATCGGAGCCGTGGACAGGATGAGCCCATCCCTGAGGGAGGGCAAGGAGGGGAGAGAACAAAGAGTCAGGGCATGACCATGTCACCAGTAAGTGATTAGAAGAGGAGGAGGGGCTGGCACAGGGGATGGTCAGCAATGGCCAGAACAGGACAGGCAAGCAGGAGGAGGAAGGGGACGGAGTGGGGAGGGACCAGCTGTGTCAAATGTGGCTCTCAGTTTTGGGAGGCGGAGGGCTGAGGAGGAGCCATTGGATTTTGGGACAGGGAGGACTTTGACACCTAATTTAATCCCTTGCAACGTGGAAAGCAGGCCGGCCCCTTCTTCCTCTGACAGACCGACCAGTGTGTGAAGCAGGTGTCGCATTTTATTCTGAGAGAGGAGCTCCGCGGGGCCCCACTCTGGCCTCACCAACGCTCTGCGCAGAAGGGGGCGCAGAGGGTCAGCTCTGCGTTGGGGTGTTGGCGGCACACAGGCCTGGGCCCCCCTTGCTAGCCAGGCCCCGCCACCTCCCGGCCATGCCTGCCCACCCACCCCAGGGGCTCAGAACTCGCAGATCACCAGGCGATTCTCGTTACAGGACTTGTCGTTCCACTTGCCGTTGGCGAAGATCTCCACACAGTCCTCGTCACCTTCGTTGTTGGGCTCCCCCGGGGCCCAGTTGGAGTAGAGCAGGGGCTCCCCGTTGGGGTAGATGAACATGCCCTCCTTCTTGGAGTCGGACACGCTCAGGAAGGTGGCGCCCTTGTTCTCTGCCTCGACCAGCTGCCGCAGGGCCTCGTTCTCAGCCACCGAGCGTGGGGAGGGCATCCTGCCCCCGGCCTGTGCGCATATTTGCTGTGCATCCTCAAAGGACTTTTCAAAGCCAGACGCCTTAAAGATCTTCTCACCGACCCCTCGGCCGCTGGGAAAGAGCACCACTAGGAGGAGAGGACAGTCAGGTTGGCATTCTGGCAGCGCCTGCCAAAGCTCCACGGCCCGGAGACCTTTGTGCTCCAACTGGAGCTCCAGGCCTCCCATCAGGGTGTCAGGGCACCAGAGAGGACAAAGTGAGACACAGTCCTGGACAGCCCCAGCTCCACGATGAGCTCTGTGAGGCGGGTCTGGGTGTCTAGTTACAGGTGAGGACACTAGACTGAGGTCAAGTAAGAGGCTCAACTTCATGTAACCATCACATGTAGAATTAGGGGTGAAAGCTTATTTGATGTGACACTAAAGCTGAGACATGCTCTTTCTGTTTCAGCCCACACTGCAAGGCAGAATCGGTTTTTCAGTTACTGGGTGGAATTGGAAAACTCTGGCTGGGCAAACGGCACCATACAGCCTGGGGCAGTCTCTGAGCGCATGGAAACAATGCAGGTCCTCACTCTGACCTCCCTCTGAACCCTGCATAACAGCAGAGCACTTGGCCTTGACAGAGAGGGTCTGTGCCATGTGCAGGGTGTGGGAAAGGAGAGGAGAGGGTGGGCCATCTGAGAGCAGTGATGTGCTAATCTCTGCACTGTGTGCAGCCCAGTGCTGGCCTCTTGTGCCCATGTGGGTGATGCTGGAGTGCTGGGTGAGGGGACAAAGGCATCTGAGAGGTGTGCGTGGGAGTCAGGGGCAGGGAGAGAGTCAGTGCTGGAGAGAGCCCTGTCTGGGCATCAGAAGGCCAGGCGTTCAGTCCCACCTTGGCCACGACTGTCTAAGGGAAAGTCACTTCCTTTTTCAGGGTTCTAATTCCTCATCTCTGAAGTGGGGATACATTTTGCAATAGCATCACCTGTGTGACATTCAACTATCTCTTTTTATTCCATCTCATTTTCCATCCCTTTGACTTCTGGGCTCATGCATAGAAATCTTCAGGGCTCCTGAGAGGGCTGAGTCCGGGCCTCCCAGGGCTGGTTAGGGTTCCAGGCTGCACCCCAACCCACTGCCCTTCTCCTGTGAACCTTCCACAAGGGTTCAGGGGGCAGATTCTCCATAGGCTCAGGGGAGCACCCAGAGCAGCCCTGGACAAGGTCAGAACAACAGTCCATATGCCATTACATGCACCCAGGTGTGTGTGCATGTATGTACATGAATGTGGCCACATGTCCAGCTGCAAGTACATGGAGCACTGAAGGTCCATCTGGGTGTATGTGAACGTGTGCATGCCTGCATATGCATGTGTCTCATGTATGTAGATGATGTGAGGCGAGTGATGGTATATACGCAAGTACACACACGTGTGGCAGGTGCATATCACAAGTTTTGCTTTGTTTGCAGTAGTGTGCATATGAGGGAGTGAGCATATATGCAGATGTTTGTGGAGGGAGGGAGACGTGCCAAATGCTTGAAACTCTCATCCTTGGTAGGAAGGTATTTAGTTGGCTTAGGTACATAGGAGCCAACCCTATGTCTCACCCTGTGTGCTCTCCTCCTTCAGATACTCTTCTTTTTTTGGATCAATGAGATTTGTTGAATGATTTGAACTCAAAGATGACATCAGGGAAAGTGGGGGTGGTGGTGGGTGGGACAAATTAGGGCCTGAGGTGGAGATTCCCACAGGCACAGGGCACTCGGCTGAGCTGCTATAGGCCTCCGACTCCTCAGCATCCAGGGTTAGGGAAGAACCTGCTTTTGAACACCCAGGGATGTGCAGGGAGAGCCCAGCACTGGCCAGAGCCCAGAGGCAGCCTGCCCCCTGTCAGACCCAGGGCATGTCTCAGGTCAGGCCCTCACCAGCCTTGAACCCCAAGGACAGCATCTCAGCCCCAACTCTCAGAGCAGTATCTGGAGTCTCTGCTGCTGTGGGCTGTACAGCAGCATCTTGGGGTGTTCACACACATAGCCCCACAGAGGTAAGAAATGCAGCCTGGGTGGTGGGATGTCCCCATATGCCACAGGGGCCAGCACAGGTTGGCAGGGGGAAGATCTGGTGAACTGCACTGGACTCAGGACATTGACCTGGCTTGGGTCACAGGTGGCTGTGATGTTGGGGGCATTCCGGAGCCTGATAGCCATGGCCATGACTCCGCCAGCCCACTGAACTGTAGGGGCCACATCCTGCTACTTGTCCCTTGCATCTACTTCTAGCTCCAGGAACATGCGGCTTCACTGCTCTGTCCCACCCCGATCCTTAGCCCCACGTCCTGCCCTAGTCCCAGGTGCAGCCCATTGTCCCAACCCACCTCTGTTCTAGACCCAAGCCTGCCTCAGGCCCAGCTAACTCCAAGCCAAAACACAGACCCAGTCTAGGGCCTACCCTCAGTGTCTGGCTCAGGTTCAGGTCCAGGTGCAGGTCCAGGAACTCACCTTTCTTACACTGAGAGAGGGCACCCTGAAGGCGTTGTACCTGTTTCTCTAAGCTCTCCACCTGCTGCCTCAGAGCAGTGATGTCTGCAGGAGAGAGAGGCCAAGTGAAGACTAGTCCAGCACAGNCTGCCTCAGAGCAGTGATGTCTGCAGGAGAGAGAGGCCAAGTGAAGACTAGTCCAGGGATCCAGGGATCAGTTCAGAGTCTGGGCCTCAAAGGAAGGGGTGCCCAGTTGCAGGCATTACTGAGTGGGGGTAAGGAGCTGAGATGGCCCCCAGGAAGCCAACATCTGCTGACACAGCTGGCCCCTGCTGCCCATGGAATTCCTTGTGGTTCTGTGTGAACACACTGCTCCTTGAGCAAGTCTTGGCTCTCCACTGACACTGATCAAGATGGCATTTCACACCAAATTCTGAGAATCTGAGAGCACTTCGGTGGGGGCTGGGTGGGGGCTGGGCAGGGGCAGGACTGCACGTCCCTCAAGCACTTCCAATCCTCTGGTTATTTGATGCTCAAAGCTTTCCCAGGAATTGGGAAGGGAGCTGTGCTTGTCCCAATGCTCAGATGGAAAAACTGCTCAGGCTTGTGCACCCCCAAGTAACAGAGTCTAACCCAGAGCCTGATCTCCCTGCCTTCCAGCCCCTCAGCCTTTCCTGCTTTCACCCACCCCTCAATGGGCTGACCACTGAGCAGAGGGGCTATCCTGAGCTAAAGACAGCCCTCCTCCTTTCCCACCCTAGTGGAGGCACCCGGAGTTGGGGAGGTGACCTTACCTGGAAGCCCACTCTCTCCCTTTGCTCCTCTTTCCCCAGGAGCACCTCTGTCCCCCTTCGGTCCTGGGGGTCCCCTGGCACCCAGAGGTCCCTGTGGGCCCGTGGCCCCTGCTGGCCCTGATCAGAGAAGAAGAGGTGGGTGAGCTCAGCTCACAGTTTCAGCATTTCACCCTCCCAGTATATGGACTGTGCTGTTGTCCACCAATACACCCTCCTGCCTACAGTCTGTGCCAAAGCCAGCCATGCACCCTCTCTCTACACTGACCATCGCCATCCGCACCCCACCTTCCATGTATGCAGACTGCCCCTGCTGCTCACACTGCTTTCTCTCCAGTTACAGACAGTCCCTCAAGCCCAGCAATGCACCCTCCTTGCATCCAGACTCCCCACTGCCCAGTGCTGCAGCTCTGACCTGATGGGGTGATGGTGGAGGAAGAGGCATCGGTAGCTTCAGATGGATGCAGGAGAGCCGAGGGCCTGCTCCCATCACTCACCTGTTCCTCCGGCACTTCCGGGGGCTCCACGCTCACCGGGGGCACCTCTTTCTCCTTTAAGCCCTGGGGGGCCTCTTGCCCCTGCAGAGCCCGGAGTGCCTGGGGCACCCACTTCTCCTGAGGAAGGAACAGAGTGGGACAAATGCTCTGAGAGTGTGTGCAGCCAGTACCATTTCCTCAGCAGCGGAACTTCTTGCCCACAGCCCCACAGGGAGAGAGAGAACTGGGACGGCTCTGCTCCCCACTGCGTGGGCTCTGGGGAAGCTAACAGGAAAGTTCTGTCAATGTGGGGATGTGGGGGAAGGGCCACAGCAAGGCCTGCCCAGTGCCAATGGCCTGGGCTTCCCCTGCACTCTGAGCATGCCTGAGGTCACATCATGGACTGCCGCTGTCATTCCTCCCTTCTCCCTTCCAGACTACCACATACCAACCACCTACCTTTGGGCCCAGCCTCTCCTTTGGGGCCTGGTTTGCCTTGAGGTCCTACATTCCCCTGCATTCCCGAGGGACCCTCTCTTCCAGCTGGACCAGGCACACCTGGAGGTCCCGGAGGTCCTGGGGAGAAGCACCAGCCAGTCAGTGCACTAAATCTCCTTGGAAGTGCGAGTGCATGAAAAGGTGAGAGCAGTCATAGAAGTCAGAGAAGCAGCACATCCTACAGATGAGGCCCAACAGCAGTTGCAGCCTTCCCTGAAATAGCCCAGGGCCACCTTCAGAGCATCCTTCTTCCTGGGATGGGATACGTGCATCCTGCTGGCATGTCCTAGTGGCAGCAGCACCACTTGCAGACACTGCATTCCACGCCCAGCTGCTCACCACGAGGTCCGGAATCTCCCTTTGGTCCAGGTTCTCCAACAGAGCCATTGTCCCCTTTGGGCCCAACTGGGCCAGCTGGTCCAGGCATCCCCGGTTGCCCTGGAGCTCCTGGTAAACCTGTAGCAGCAGAAGAAATGGGCATAAACCTGGCCCTGGGCCTAGGACGAGCCAGCACCTACAGGGTCAGGTCCCTGGCTTTCCTTCTGGGCTCTACGGGGTATAGACATTCCACCTCCACACTCCTGGGCCCATTGATGACACAGGAGATAGGTGTGCACATCTCCATTTCATAGGTGAAGAAACAGGCCTGCCCGAGTTGGAGGTGTGTTCAAGCCCGAACCCATCTGATTTCCATGCAGTGCGCCTTCCCTGCCCCAAGGCTGCAGTAATTAAAGCAGGCAATCTGTCTGTACTTACCCTTGATCATGGACTCCTTGCTTTCCCCTTCCTAGAACCAGACTTTATATCAGAAATGACACCTAACGCAAGTCATCACAGAAAAGCAAATCAAACCCACAAGATATCATCTCACACCTGTTAGAATGGCTGTTATACGAAAGACCAAAGGTAACAAGTGTTGGTAAGAATGTGGAGAAAGAAGAACCTTGTGCACTGCTGGTGGGGTTGTAAATTGGTACAGCCACTGTGGAGACCAGTATAGTTCTCCCCAAAATCAAAAATAGAACTAAAAAAACAGTACGATCCAGCAACACCATTTCTGGGTATTTTTCCAAAGGAAATGAAACACTAAGGTGAAAAGATACTGGTACAGTAGCCAAGAGATGGAAACAACCTAAGCGTCCATAATGGATGAGTGGACAAAGATGTGATACACACACACATACACGCGCACACACATGCACACATGCACACCGTGGAATATCCTTCAGCCATAAAAGAAAATCCCGGCTGACTGCGATGACATGAATGCATCTTGAGGGAATTATGCTAAGCTACATAAGCCAAGCAAAGTAAGACATATACAATATGATCTCATTTATATGTGGATTCAAAAAAACAAAACAATAAACCTGAACTGATAAATACGGAGGTCAGATTATTGGTGGTTGCAAAAGGCGGGAGCTGGGTGGTGGGCAAAACAGGTGAAGGTGGTCAAAGGCCACAAACATCAAGTTTAAAAGAAATAAGTCTTAGGGATGCAGTGTACAGAATGGTGACTATACTTAATAGTACTATATCATATATTTGAAAGTTTCCAAGAGAATATATCTTAAAAGCTCTCATCACAAGAAAAAAATGTAAACATGGGTGGTTATAATGATTACTTCACAGTATATATGAATATTAAGTCATTGTCGCACACCTGAAACTAACACAATGTTATGTCAATTACATCTCGATGAAAAACAGAACAAGCAGCGTCACATGCCCCTGAACCTATAGAAAACAGACCAAATTATTACCTAATGCATCATTAGGTTTTAAAAGTATGTCATAAATACTATGTTCAATATGATTCTGTTTCATAAATATGTACAGACATTGTAGGGTGTGTGCACATGTAATACTCATTGGAAAAACCACAGGAAAGGCATATACAAAATGTTACGGTGTTTTTTCCCCCAGAGTAGCACATCAAGGAATTTTCATTTTTCTTCTTTTTATTTACCTTTAGTGACCACATGGTATTTTTCTTTTGTAAAAATAACCAAATATTTCAAAAATGTTTGAAGAAAGGCTGCCTAAGCCTGAAATTATACAAGATTTACCCAAAAAGGCTAAAGGGAGAAAATGGCTATTAACATTTAAGAATTTTACACTCAATTCTATGACTTTGGGTCTCTTTTATTAAGGTAAAATTTATTTAATGTAAAATTAACCTCTTTAAGTATACAGTTCAGTGGCATTTAGCATCTTCACAATGTCATGCAACTACCACATCTATTTAGTTAAAAAACATTTAATCACGGCCAAGGAAAACCTCATGGCCATTGGGCAGTCACTCCCTATCCCCCACCCCAGCACCGGCTGTCACTGTTCTGCTGTCTCCGTTACCTATTCCAGATATTTCTTATCAATGGAATCATACAACATATGACCTTTTGTGTCTAGCCCTTTTAAACTTGGAGTGACTTCTTGAGGTTTATGCACTTTGTAGCACGTCCCAGTACTTCATTCCTTTGTATAACTCAATAATATGCCATTGTATGGATAGAACACATAATTTTTTATCCATTCATCAGTTGATGGACTTTTGGTTGTTGTGAATTAAGCTGCTATTAATGTTTATGTGCAAAAAGAAAAGAGCCCAACCTGGCGTGGCTCAGCAGTTGAGGGTCGACCTAGGATCCAGGCGATCGGGGTTCGATTCCTGGTCAGGGCACAGGCCCAGGTTGCGGGCTTGATCCTCAGTCGGGGGCGTACAGGAGGCAGCCGATCAATGACTCTCTCATCACTGATGTTTCTATCTCTCTCTCTCCCTCTCCTTTCCTCTCTCTGAAATCAATAAAGATATATTTAAAAAAAGAAAAAGAAAGAAAAGATACCAGAGGGGAAGGGGGTGGGGAGGAAGGGGAGGGTAAGGAAGGATAAATGGTGATGGAGGGAGACCTGACTTCGGGTGGGGAACACACAATACAATATACAGATCATGTATTGTAAAATTGTACGCTGAAACCTATATGATTTATTAACCAATGTCACCCCAATAAATTCAATAAAAAATAAATAAATGAGTAAGACTTGTGGGGTAACAAAGCAAAAAAAGACAGAGAGAAATAACACCTGAGAGGTGGTGCCAACTTGTTCATTCACTTATTTGTCCATTTGTTCATTATTTCATTTATTTGTTCCCTCAGAAACCATCTGTGGAGCATAACTTTATGCTTAGCACTGGGAGAGACGCAAACATGAGCACCAGGTCCTGTTCTGCAAGGGATTAGTAGCAGAATGTTACACTGTGGGGCGCGGGTAATGAGTGTGGAAGACAATGTGTGAGATGCCCCTCATCCGACCACAGCACCCCAAATCCGGCACACACAGAGCTCTTTTCCTGAAGAAGGAAATGGGACTTAAAGGGGAGGAGAGTTTAGAGAAATTTGTAGAGGAGAGGTGCCATTTCAGATATGGAAACCATGCTCCAAGGGCAGGAGGGGCCAGGCCTGCCTGGGGCAAAAATATGCTGGGGGGTGGGGGGACTGGTGCCTTTAAGAGGCTGTGCTGGGCATTGTGTCCTGCTTTTAGCCACAACCCTCACTAGGAACGAAATGGAACACAGAGGGTTGCAGAATGGGCCCCACATTCCATATTCAACAGTGCACTATGCAGGGGCAGAGATGTCCTAACTCTGGCTGAGTCTCTCTTGGGCTCCACTCTGGCCGAGATGGCAGCAGATAGAGAGAGAGGTGAGGAAAGAAGCCAATCCCTAGAAGAGAGCATTAAAGGTCGCCCATCCTTGACACTCAACCATAGTGGCCGCCAGAGATCTGAGGTGGGGGAAGAGACACCTCATTAGCAAACACTTATGCCTCCTGAAGCACTAATTTTGGTTTTTGTTTGTCTGTTTGTAATTTAACTGTTGACAGAATTACAGATGCTCCCCATTCCCCCCCTTTACTGCATCCACCCAGCCCAGTTTTGCATCCTAGTGAAGCTTTATGGACCAGCATATTGGTCACTCTTAACTGTACCAGAATTCCTCCTCTTCTTGCATCTCACATTTATTTATTCCACAGGTGTTCACTGAACTTCTACTACATTCTGTGCTAAATGCAGGGAAATAGTAGTGAAAGAGACAACCAATCATATCTCTTACTCATAGAGCATACATTCAACTACATAGAAACTGATAATAAAAATTAAATGTACAATATGCACTTTACTGGATCAGAATAAGTGGCACAGAGGAAACAAAGCATAGAATGTTGTCGGGGTGTCTTGTGAGTAGGGGGTCAGAGAAGGACTCCCTGAGCTGGGGGTCTGTGAGTAAAGCTGTGAAGGAGGTGAGGTGTGTGCCTGTGGAAGAGCAGTGACTGGGCCCTGGCGGGGCAGGGGGCCGAGTGTGGTAAAAGGCCAGCAAGGAGCCCATGTGGTTGGAGGCCAGTGACTTGGAGAGGAGATAGGAGAAGTAAACAGGGTAGAGAGCTGCCGCGTGGGCTGCTGTGAAGTGTGTAGTTTTCCTCGGAGGGAGGTGCATGCCCCTGGGGGAACTCACTGAGTCATTCTGGGCAAGAATCTAGATGCTGATGGCTACGGGAACTATCCCTGTAAATATAGCTCCCAAAGCAGGGTCCAGGTCTTACTGGCCCCCAGTGATTCGTCTGGACATCACCACAGGACCCCGGCTCTACCCTCCGCCTCTGCTCAAGGGTCTCTCATCTCAGACCCATCTTGTCTGTTATTGCAGCTTCTTGGGACCAAGTACATCAGAACCTGCAGGGCAGGTTGTCAAAAGTCCCAGCCAGACCTCTGGGGTCAGGATTCTGAGGCTGCTCCAAGCTCTCAGGAAATTCTCAGACCCTTAAGGGTTAAGTGACTAAAGTGGCTGGAATTAAGGAGCCAGTGTGGAGCCTGGTCAGTCTGGCCATGCCCCCGTCTCTCTCCAAGCACCAACCCAAGGCAGGCTGGGATGTGCACGAGTCACCTGCAGGAAACAGGGATATCTCAGCCGTACTCCATGCTGCAGGTTCAGAGGGCCACTATAGGAAAGGGCCTCCTCCCCACGATTCAATTCAGGGTCCCTCTGGGAGCTAGAGAGAGCTGGGATTCTCCAAGAGAGAGCCGGACCTTGAATACCACCCTTCTTCTGAGTCTACTTCCAGGCAGCCTTCTTAAGGCCCAGGCCATTCTCACTGGGAGCCACTTTCTATAAAGGACAAATGGGTATTTGTTTGACCCTTGACCCACAGAGCCTGGTAGTGTTACCTGTTCTTTCCAGATTAAATGTCTTCTTCCTCCTTCAACCCAAATGCAAACTCCACGAAGATAAAGGCCCCAGTCAATCCCTCCGTAGCGCCAGCCCAGTGCCACAGGGTCCCTTCAGCCTTAAATGGTTTTTTAATTCCTTTTGCCAGTCAGACCCAGCCTCTCCCCTATGGGGCGCTATTTCTTGGAAAATGCCCTCAATAGAAGTGTCTTTGGAGAGCTCAGGAGAATTCACCTGATGGTACGAAGGAAGACGTTATCCGGAAGACAACAAAAAATACAGCCTTGGCTCAATTACTTGTCACTGTGTGGTTGATATTCCTCCCACATGCGAATGAGCCACCAAGGCTCAGGGACACTGAGCGGCTTGTCCCGGGGGGCCCTGCTGTGGAGCTGGCAATCAAGCACAGACCTGTCTGACGCAGAAGCCAATGTCCGTATCACCTTCCACAGTGGGTGTCATTTAGCCTCCCTGAGTCACAATTTCATTACCTGTCAAATGAGGCTAATATGTCCCTAATAAGTAGGGTTAAATGAATTGCACGAGCAGATACCCAAGCACAGGGCATGACAAGGGGATGTGAGCTCTCTTTCCTTCTCTCCGTAATGTATTTAAGGGCAAATGCTCCTGATCAGGCTGAGTGGGGGGCCACAGAGCCTCATCCTTGCCCACCCTTCATGGAGCAGAGTTTAGTTAGATATTTAACACACAGCACAGGCACCACTCAGCCACAATGAACACCCGCTAAGTGCCGCAGCGTGGTTCCCAAGGGCCCCAACACCAGTCTTTAACCGCGATTTGCTCATTCCTGGGGCGAGAGGAATCAGAAGATCCCCGGGGAGGAATCAAGGAAGCTGGGCTGGGGGGGGACAGCTGGGGGCTGAGGGCAGCCGGCCATTTGCCAGCCGGGGAGGCGGCGTTTTAGGTGCGCGGGGTGTCTAGGGCTCCTTCCCCAGGCGGCGGGGTCCCACCCCCACGGCCTCCACAGCCAGGACCCTGCGCTGCAGAGCTGGTTCCAATTCCAGCGCCCACCCTGCCCACCAGGACAAGCCCAAGTCCCAGCTCTACCTGGATACCCCTTCTCGCCCCGGGGGCCCTCTCTCCCATCTCGTCCGTCACGACCAGGCAGGCCACTCTCCCCAGGGCTACACATGACCAGGGTGCAGGCATCGGTCACCATTTTCTTGGCATAGGTCTTCATTTCTGTCCCCACTGACCTCGGAGGCAGTGTGAGCAGGATCAGCACGGAGAGGAGGGGGAGAAGCATGGCCTAGGCGGATGGACAGAAAGAAAAAGGACATGTTCCTGCTTCTAGAACATGGGTTAGACCTTGGCCCAGCTCCTGGAAGCCAGGAGAGGCACCTCTCCTACCTCCGCTCCCCTTCCGCGGGATCAGGAGCATCAGGACTCCAAAAGCAGGTTAGGACAAGGTGCGCATTCAGCCTGGCCTGGGAGGACGGCAGTTACCCAGCTGGGCTCTGACATGGATGAAAGCGGCTTCTCCCTCTGTGGATGCCCTGTTCTGTCCCTTGCAGTGACTTGCTTCCCTCAATCACTGCCTTCGGCACAGCGCCTAGGATATAGGATTCCTCCCTGAGGCCATGTGCCACATCAGGAAGGATTCGTGAAGTGCCTTTGGGCAGGTCCCTTCCCCTCTTTGAGCCTCCTTCCTCCTATCTAAGGGGCTTGGCTGAGCTCCAAAAAGGCAAACCGGTTTCCTGTCGATTGTAGCCTCTGATGGACTAGCACTGGCAGTCTGAGTGCTGGTCTGAAAAGGAGCCAGAGTCCAGAGGCACTAAGCCAGAATACTTAGTGACATTTCCCCTGAGCACAAGGTGGGGACATGGCTGCATGTCTGCCAGGTGATTTGCCATTCCTGGACTAAACGCTTTCTCTATGAAGAAAGTTCCAGATGGAACCCAGGCAAGCATTCTCAGAGGTACTATATTAGCAGCTGGAGAGATCCTGGGACACCTGGAGTGCTGCCCAGTCCACCTGAGATGACTTGGAAGAGGGGGGTCATGGAGGAGGGGCATGTCAGAGGTGCTCAGGGAAAGGGTAGTGCTGGGGTAGGAAAGATGTCCAATAGGCATCCAGTAACCATGTGAGAGGGACTTTGGAGCTGAGATCAGGCTGCGTGCATTGGTCACTCCCAATGTGGGGCTTCTAGCCTCTCTGAGAGAAATTGTAAAGTTATGAGCGAGAAAAGAGCTCCCAGAAATTGCAGAGGCTGGGAACAAGCCTGAGGGACCTGAGCAAAGGAGGGCAGGAGAGGGGCTTCCTGCACGGAGAAATGCTGTCTTCAGGTGCTGGTGATCCTGCAATGGAGGGCTCTGTTTGCACCAGCTCTTTTTCAGTTTGAATTTACCACTTCCTCGGGCATCCTGGGAGCCTCTAGAAACCCCCAGGTGTCTTCACAGGCCAGTAGCAGCTGCCTTGCTGCACTTGCTGCTGCAGGGCCTTGGTCATGAACACTAAAGGACCCAGCCAGAGCCAGGACATTGTCCCCTGGTCTGCAGCTGCCACAGTCCTGGGGCCCTGCGCCCAAATCTGGGGAAGAATGAAAAGCAATAGGCATTCTGCCCAGCAGCTCAAGATGGCACAGAAGGCACACCACCCGTTGTAGCAGAAAGGAGCTACGGCACAGGTTTTGAAACCTGTGATTTAGATGAGGCCTCTTAGCTGGGCCTATAGGGTCAGTGTGCAGAGCCACAGCCTCTTCAACCCACACAATGGTCACTTTATGTCACGCTTTCAAACTAAAATTTTATTGAAAAAATTGGTTGAAAACCAATGACCCAGTCCAGTAAGTATATTTTTTAAGTAAAGACTGGAAGCTAAGAGGAAAGCATGTTTATCCATGTGCCATGGGCAGTTGGTACCAGGACAGGCTTAGAGCCCGGGCGTGTGAATGCTTGGCCTGTTTCTCCTCCAGCACCCTTCCTTTCTGAGGAAATCAGGGATGGAGAGGAGCCAGGAGAGAAGGTGGAGTTGCATTTCCATCTGAGGCTTCCAGACAATGGCATCTGGGATCTGGGTGGGTGTTACATCCCACTCACCCACCCTCCTCCTGAGCCAAGGAAGCAGAGTGAGGGGCAGAAGAGGGGTCCTTGTTCCCCCACTATGCCTCCCTCCCACAGCCCTCCCACACACCCCAGACCAGAACAGCGATGTAGACCGTCTTCCTCAGCACCAGTAAAACAGACCACCCATAATGGGCAGGGGGACAGTCACTGGACACAGAGAACGAAATGAGAGGCACGGACAGGGACACTCACTGTTGCTTCCTCTGGGACTCCAGGATCTCCAGGCACACTAGCCTTTCCTCGGCAGGCAGTGGCTATTTATGCTGCCCTGTAACCTGAGCCACCTCATCTTGGTCTTTTGAGAACTCTTTAAGAAAGGGCACTTTTCTTCCTGTTGACTCACTCCATCTCACCCCCAGCTGGGTTCTGGAAACCTGCCACCGGTATTCCCAACACTACACAGGCATCACCTTAGAGTTTACAAAGTACCCTCAGTCTATGACCTCCACTGCACCCCACTGCAGCCCTGTGAGTGGAGTGGCATCATCAGTGCCTGGGTTTTACAGATATTCAAGAATCTGAGGTCCAGAGGAGACCAGCAAGTTGCCCAATGACCTACAGCTATTGCAAAAGCAACCTGCACCTGCCGATTTCAAGAGCCAGAACCTGCTGCATCAACTTCTCTTTGTTCTTCACTTCAGTTTTACTACCCAGATACTGAGAAGAAGCTGGAAGCCTCTTGGCATTTCTGGGCAGGGGTTGGGCAGGTGGCGAGGTGGTAGAGGCAGCAGCGGCCTGTGAGGACAATGGCTGGGGAGCTCCATCCAGCAGGGGTCACTCTTTTGCTTCCTGCTCTAATCCTGGAGAGCCCCTCACTTGCCTTTTGTGGGAAGGACAGCCCTTAACTCCCTTGCCCTCATCTCTCCACTTCCTAGCTGATGTTTCCTCTGTGTATTGCTCTAGTAACCAGCTTGGACCCCTGAGCTGCTGATATACTATAGCAGCCATCCCCCAGGAAACTAACTTCCAGTGACTGTGGGGCAGTTGCCTGCCCTGCTGCTGTTGCTGTCATCTCTGCTTCCTTCTAGATGCCTGTGACTCCATATCTTGCATCAACCCTTTGCCTAAGTCCCCACACAAGCAACCTCATGTCTCCAGTCCTCTCCTTTGGCCACCCCATTGGTGATGTTGACTTGCTCCTGGCCTTTGATGCTTCTGTGGCACCTCCTTATATATTGTAGATTCTATAATGCCAGGTTTCCTCAGCTGGTAGGAAAAGGTCTTCTGCTTCCCATATTGCAATTTTTGTAGCAGGATCCCATAGTAGAGCCACTTGTGCCCCAAATGATAAAGCTCTTTCATTATTACACACTGCCCTTCCCATTCTAGGATGTTCATGTGTCTCCCAGAGATCTAAATGAGCATGGAGGCTGAACTGAACCATTGCTCTCCACTCCCCACAGAGCCTACCTGTCAAGTCTTATCCTGGTATCTAGACAAACTCCTATGTATGGTGATTTTTGTTTCAGAAGCCCTGTATTTTCTCTCTCTTTGCAACTTGCCTTCTATTAACTTTTACCTCCTAACCTGTCAAATACTTCCTTCCCAATGCCCTGGGGCCCCACTATAGCACAGAATAGTGTTTCCTTTGTTTAACTCCACATTACATCAGAGTCTAGTTTTCTTCATGATCCAACCCAGACACTCTTGTTACAATGATAACCTTTGTTTTCCATAGTTACACCAACACAGGTGACCTTAAATGATCACACAGTCAGATCTTAAATGATGATTACAATGGCTTTCATGCAGAGGACAAATGGGCCACACAATCTGCCCAAGATGAGGTCGAGGATGGTCACACGGTTTCTTTGGGTGCTGGCCACTGATGCCACACTGCAGCCTCAGCAGTTCCTGCAGCCCTTAAAGACTTCATTAGCTGCACTTTTGTCAGATCTAAGGTGTGGCCTCATATTGGTTTGCCAGGTGCTTGCCCACATCCCTGTTGAAACTCCCAGCTCAGCAGGCCCCTTACATCTCTTATCAATGCTAGACCATAAGGCAGCAATTTTCAAGCGGCGTGTTGTAAAAATTTTTAAAACATGCAATACCTGACTATTTAGTCAGGTGCACTGACCTCTTTTCCCTTAGATTGTCAAATTTTTTAAAATGACAACAGCTGGGATTCCAAGATAACTGCAGAGTATCTAAAAGCTGTGCCACTTGCTCCCAGCTTCAAACCAGATTTACAGCTAAATTACGAGCAATCAACAGGAAAAAAAATTTGAAGTATAGGTGATCTGAAATTTTGTAACCATGGAGCACAGAAGCCACATAGAGACTGGTAAGAGTAGTGGAGAAGCGGAAAGGGAGATTCCCCCTTACACAGGGGCAGCTGAGAAGCCAGAGGGATATCGCAGCTGCAAAACTTCCTCCCCCTAGGAGCATGGGGTCTCAACCCCACGCAGGGATCCCCAACCAAGAGCAACAGAGACTGGAAGAGGAGCTCCCATAGCATCAGGTGGTGGGACTCAGTGGGGATTCTGTCTGCCTGGGAGACTGGGACTGCACCATCCTAGGGAAGGAGTGCTCCCATTATTGCAGCACCAGCTGGAGAGTTCACTCCTCACTCCAACTGCTGGACAGGCCACACTGTCATACTCAGGTTTTGTGGAGGGGTCTACTGACTACACCCAGCAGTGACTTTCAGGGGCCCTCTGTTCTCTGGAAAGGCTCTGAGACCCATTCAGTGGCTAAACTGTGTGGCATGGTGGGAAGGAACCGTCTCTCTTGCCTCGAGCACACAGTCTGCACCCCTTCCCCAACCTGTTGAGCTGCTTGGCCTGCTCCATGCTGCTGGGTGCAGCAGCACAGGGAAATGGCTCAGGAGTGGGATTTTTCGGCCCATGCTGCTGGTTATGGTGGTGCAGGGGAGCAGGAATTTTGGTCTATGAAGCTGGGTTCGGAGCCTGAACACAGGTGGGAATTTCAGCCTGCCCTGCTGAGACCAGCTGCGTGGAGAAAGCTGAGCACTGTGCAAGGCTGATTTTCAGCCCCCTCCTCCTTGGTCTGGTGGTGCAAGGGTGCCAGGGAGCTGCACAGAGCTGGGATTTTTGGATTGTGTCTCTCAAGGAGGCTTCTGTCCAGTGCTGGTCTCTGAGGCTGCATTGCAGAGAAACAAATCCAGCCTCCCCAGCAATTAAGCACGTGCTGTCCCAGGAAGGAGGAAAAGTGTCCACCC